AAGATGGGCGGGGAATGTGGCGCCGGAGCCCCGCCCCCGCCCCGTGATTGACGGGTCGCCGACACTCTCCTGGGGAGTTACCCCCCAGCGTGTCGCGTGTGGACCCGCAGTGTCCACTCTCTAGAAAGCCGGCCAGTCGGTCCCAGGCAGGCTTTCACTAGAAAACGCGCCGAAAACTAACCTGGATGTCGTTCCTGTTAACCAGCTTGTTACTAAACGGAGGGTTTTTCGCAGGTAAATCGGGCCCTGACTTGGAGCGAGTCGAGCATCTGTTTTCCCGAGGTGGCTGTGATGGGAGACTGATTTCTAAATGGAGGTTCACTTTTGGTTGAAACAGATGGCGACTGGTCTTCACATTGAGAGGCTCTTGGGAGCAAAATGTTGGTTTTCAGAAAGCTTGAGCAAGCCTTACGCTGGGCAACAGTGTTGCTTGAGATGATAAATGGGGTATGCGTTCTTCCTGCAGGGTAGCACTTTTCAGAAAGTTCTTTCCGTTTCTATTATAGGTAATTTTTTTTCTTGTTCCCAAGTAATAAAATATGCAGGTGGTCAACTGTTTCCAGTCGTTCTTGATTGCGATCTTAGACAGTTTTCTGAATTCTGTATCCATTGTTTTCTTAACCGCTGGAATTATCTTGGACTCTCCATCTTATTTACTTTAAAATCTGGAGTTTTTCTCATTTACCTTTTGTATACCTTTTTATGTGAAAATGTCCCATATGAAGGAGTAAGGAGGTTATTTGTTCTTTAATACTGTTGGGTTGGTTTGTATTTTTAAGCCATAATCTGTAAGACCTGGTCATTATGTTTGGAAGTCAGGATGCCTCACGAATGCACTGGAGAAGGAAAGATTTTGCCAGTGTCATTAATAGGGCATTCTTAAAAGTAAGCAACTTAGGGATGGAGGAGTAGTAGCTAATGTTGAGTTAAAGTAGTGTTTTTAACAAGTGCCTTTATATCATAAACGGAGATAGTTATTTAAATGGAGAGTTTATTTCTGTAAATATCATGCCAAGCAAATGATATTTTTCTCTAAACTTAGTTTACTTATAGCTTCAAGTCGACATTCACTTTTCTTGTGTGATAACCTATAATTTCATGAGTCTTAAAATTTACATTTTAAATCTCTCTCAAGCTCTAGTATCAAGTGAAATATCCACCTTTGAAATTAGTTGGGTCAGTTAACCTCACTGTTAACATTATATATAAACTTGAAGTTACGGACAAAGGTGGGAGTCAAATCTGTTTTCCCTTTGACTCTAATATTAAATTTTAAGATATATTCCTAGAGAATATTGTACCACCCACCACTTATTCACACTTGAGTCTTAATCACTTAAATCAGGAGAGATTAATTTTTATTTCAGCTCCTAAATAAATTGGACTACCAATCCCTAGGATCTTACAGGTCTATTTAAGCTTATATCTTACCCATTTTTTTCTTTGAATATTTGAACTTTTGCACTGAATGTGACTTTTTAAGGCACAATCCCCAGTCATTTATTTTTGTCCTTCATCCCTTTGATGGATTTGCCAATGGGATGGAGAAATATGATAGGATTCCTTTCTCTCTACTGTCCTAAGCAGTGCTTAGTTTTGCAGCCCTCTTCTAGCAACTGTGGCATCCCTTCGTGGTACTTATATTCTGTCTTCTAACCGTAGTCTAGTTCTATTTTATATCTCTTCCCCTTCCTCCTCTTTTCCTGACAAGTGTACTGTTTACAGATAACAAGCTCTAGTAGTCAGCCCGAGGTCAAACCCTGGCTCCACAACTTGATAGCTGCCAGTCTCTGCACTTCTGATTGCTCATCTGTAAGACAGGAATAATAATATTT